AGTATAAGTAAGACAGATCGAGGAGAGCTAGTTTAAAAGCAGGAAATTACTCCACCATGGCCAGAAGGTGCTAAATGGAGTGAGAGTGACTGATCGAGCCACCACTGTCACCTTATTGATCCGATTCTTCTCTGGCTTGGCAGGCTTAGGAGGATGTTTTTCTTCCTCATCCTCTTCCTCACTCTGATCCTGAATCAGGGCTGCAAAAACATTAACACCCTAGAGAACGAAAGGGCCACAGAAGTCAGTAGGATGGTCAAGATTGCATCCTTGGGGTCTGTTTACCACACAGATGGCTTACCTTGGTTTTCTTCCCTCCGCGGGGTTTTGGGGCAGGTACTGAAATGACAAGGGGAGAACATGAAATAGGAAACAATTACAATGTCTGGCCCCCCAGTTTAATCCAACTTGAAGATCAAGGTATGAGGCATCACTCTCCATGACTCATGGATTCCAGGTACCCATTCCACCTCAGGTCATTTACCCTCATCCTCCTCATCACTGGCTGGCACTGAGAGCTTCTTAAGACGCTCCATGAGCTCTTTCTCCTCCCCATCATCATCCACATCCTTCTTCCGCCTGCCTTTTCGGGTATCTCGCTTCTTTTTTTGCTGCTGAGAGCAAAAGAAGAATGAGAAAATGAAGCCCAGGCCCCTGCTATATTTCTGCCTCACAGAAGGTTCCCCATCAGCTGAGTGGAGCAACATGGGCTGCAAAGGGATTGGTGGGCCCTGTGGCACTTGTACCTGCTGTTGCTGCTGTTGCTGCTGCTGCTGCTCCTCCTTCTCCTTGAGTACTTTCTCTTCTTCCCCAGCCTGTTTATCTTCTACTGCCAGCTCTTCAAAGAACTATCAAGGGAGTTAAGATACAGGTAAACATGGTTCCAAGAGCAATCCAATCAAGCTGTGCTCTGCCACACACGGGCCCACTGGCCCTCCACTCCACCCTCACCTTACCTCCTGTCTCTCTCTTTTTTTCTTTTAGTGGAGAACGGAGTGTGCAGGTCTCAAACTCCTGGGCTTAAGCTATCCTCCCACCTCTGCCTCCCTAAGTGCTGGGATTACAGGCGTAAGCCACCATGCCCAGCCTATCTCCTCTCTTGATAAGATCTTCTCTCCTCCCTTGGACCTCCCACCTCCTTCACATGGCCATTTATTTAGCCTGGAAACACCCATAGTCATTTCTTATCCTCAACCCTCATTTTCTCACCGTTTTTTTGATCTTCTTGTCCTTCTTCCCTTTCTTCACCACTTTGTCTAGAAAGTTAAGCAGAGATCGTGAATGCTTATCTACAAATTCCAACGCAGTCTGATCTCCCCTGTAAGATCTCTGTAGCCTCCATCCTATTTTATTATTTTTCTAGCTTAACTATCACTCCCTAAATATTTGTACTGTCTCACACCTCCAGCAGAAATAATCATTCCCATCTCTATTCATTCATCCAATAAGTATTTATTTACTACACAGCTACCACAAGTCAGATACTGTGCTAGCACAGGGGATTATAACAATGAACAAGACAACCGTGGTCTCCTCTGGAGCTTACAGGCTATAGGAAGAGAGATTTTTAAATAGGTAATTCCAGGTGTACTGAAGGTTCCAAAAGAAAAGGTAAAGCCTACTTGGTGGTTGAGGAGAGGCTGGCTTCATCTCTGGTGGCGGCCTCTCTAAAAAGATGACATTTAAGCTAATAACTGAAGTAATGAGGAGTATGAGAAGTTCGTCAGAGACATGGTGCAATTCCAGTGCTGTGCGCAGGCCCAGCTGTGAGAAAGCACACACACTGAGAGACAGGGAAAAGTCTGGTATGGCTAAGCTTACAGACTGAGGGGAGAATGGTGCAAGGGAAGGCTGGAGTGAGGGCCCTGTAGTAAGGTTAAGGATTGGGGACTTTATTGGTATGATCGCTTTCACACTTTTAAAGTTTCACTTTGGCTTCAGAGTAGAGCAAGAATGGGAGGGAATAAGCATAGTGGGAAATCTGTTGGGGAGGCTGTCAGAGCAGTCTGGGTGGTGGTGACAAGGGGAAAGAAGAATTCACAGGATGGGGCTAGAGGTGGGGAATAAAGAACACCCAGCTGGGCGTGATGGCTCACGCCTGTAATCCCAGTGCTTTGTGAGGCCGAGGCAGGCGGATCACTAGAGGTCAGGAGTTCAAGACTAGCCTGGTGAACATGGTGAAACCCAGTCTTTACTAAAAACACAAAAAATTAACTGGGCATAGTGGCGGGTGCCTGTAATCCCAGCTACTCGGGAGGCTGGGACAGGAGAATTGCTTGAACCCAGGAGGCAGAGGTTGCAGTGAGCTGAGACTGCACTATCGCACTATAGCCTGGGTGACAGAGCAAGACTCCGTCTCAAAAAAAAAAAAAAAAAGCACTCAGAGATGAGTCCTTTGTTTTTAGCCGGCAAAATTAGCTGGGCTAAGTGATACCATTTATTAATTAAGGAGGCAGTGGAAGAGAAGATCTTATAGGAAGGAAGAAGATATTATAAATTCAATTTGGGAGATACGTATGTATACATACACATGTATACAACACACACACCACACCCTCCTTTTTTTTTTTTTTTTTTTTTTAAGAGGGTCTTGCTCTGTCACCCAGGCTGGAATGCAGTGGCATGATCATAACTTACTGTAACCTTAAATTCCTAGGCTCAGGTGATCCTCTCGTTTTAGCCTCCTGAGTAGCTAGGACTACAGGCAAGCATCACTATGCCTGGTTAATTAAAAAGTATATATATATTTTAGAGAGGAGATCTCACTATGTTGCCCAGGCTAATCCCGAACCTCTGGCATCAAGCAATCCTCTGCCTCAGCCTCCCAAACTGTTGGACTTGCAGGTCTGAGCCACTGTGCCTGGCTAGGGGGACATGTTGTTTGTAAAACCTACAGGCCATGTAAATAGAGTTATCTGGTAAGCAAATGAACACCTGGGTCTATGCCTTACTTGTTCTGCTTGAATATTATAGCACAAATCACATTGTGTCATATTAACCTGTGTGCTTTCATTCTAGAGAGTAACCTGAGAGACTGTTTAGCCTGTGTTCCCAGGAAAGCCAAAACTGATTCAACAGATTCTAGCTCTACCCCTCTGTCCATCCTTGTTTCCCTGAAGGTGGAGGACCATGTCCAACTCCCTCCCCTACTGGAGCAGCCAGCAACCTCATGATTTCCCTTCAGGCTTAGGCCTATTTATTATCTTCCCTTCCAAAACATCCCTTCCACCCACTGCTATCTAATTCTACCCATAGGCATTTCAGTATTTAACACTTAAAAAAAAAAAAAAAATTAGCCGGGTGTGGTGGCTCACGCCTGTAATCTCAGCACATTGGGAGGCCAAGGCAGGTGGATCATGAGGTCAGGAGATTAAGATCAGCTTGGCCAACATGGTGAAATCCCATCTCTACTAAAAATACAAAAATTAGTTGGGCGTGGTAGAGCACACCTGTAGTCCCAGCTACTTGGGAGGCTAAGGCAGGAGAATCCCTTGAACCCAGGAGGTGGAAGTTGCAGTGAGCCAAGATCGCACCACTGTACTCCAGCCTGGGTGACAGAGCGAGACTCCGTCTCAAAAAAAAAAGTCTGTGGGGAGGGGGGAGGGATAGCATTAGGAGATATACCTAATGTAAATGACGAGTTAATGGGTGCAGCACACCAACATGGCACATGTATACATATGTAACAAACCTGCACGTTGTGCACATGTTCCCTAGAACTTAAAGTATTAAAAAAAAAAAAAAGTCAATGGTATCCGCCATCTACTACATTAAAATATTCTCAAACCAGAATTTCATGTATTCCAAAGTAATCATTTATTCAGGAAAGTTTTATGGTGCATCTACTTTTCCAAAAAACTGGAGGTAATGACAAACAATCCCAATAGTTAAAGGCTTCACAGACTAAAAGGGCCCCACCCTATCTTTTCTGTTTCCTGACCCACACCTATGGTCTCCATACTGGCTTCTTTCTGATCCTTTATGAAGTCCCCGGCATGCTTATGTCCGTCTGCTTAATCTGCATCCTCCATCCAGAACACATTTCAAAATTTGGAACCCTCCTCTTCCCCAAAAAACAAACCACAAAAAACAAACAAACAAACAAAAAAATCAAAGAAAAAAACATCTGAGCCCAGTATTGGGTGACTAATGTGAAAGTTGAAAAGTTGTGTGGGATTAATAAAAGGCTTTATATGCTATTCCAAGGAGTTTAATCCTAAAGACATTAGGAGGAAGGATCCACTGAAGTACCTAAGAAGGAAAAACACGATCAGGTCACCTTATCAACACAGAGGACTGACTCATCCCAGACATGAATTTCTCCCCAAGGACTAACACAGTTATACCATCTCTCCTTCCTTTAAATCTGGCCAGGCGCAGTGGCTCATGCCTGTAATCCAAACATTTTGGGGACCAAGGTGGGAGGAGTGGTTGAGGCCAGAGGTTCAAGATTAGCCTGGGCAACATAGCAAGAACTCATCTCTACAGAAAACAAAAAACAAAAACAAACAAAAAATTAGCCCGGCACGGCAGTGTGTGCCTGTAGTCCTAGCTACGTAGGACGGCTTGAACCTGCAATTGAGGCTGCAGTGAGCTGAGATCGCGCCACTGCACTCCAGCCTGCCGACAGTGAGGCTCCGTCACAAAAAAAAAAAAACCACCAAAACCAAAAAAATCTTTTGTACTTTAATCACTCTTATCCACTTGATCATAGGGACAGGAAGAGCCTCTGAACAGGTTCATTGTGAGAAAGTATAATCCCCAAGAAACTGAAAAAGTTAAGTGTGGCTAGATACATACTGTGTCTTCTTTCCTTTCGTGTATCATTTAAGCTGCTCCTTCAAAGCAAAAAAAAGAAAGCCTTCCTTACCCTTATACCCCTCTCTCCCATTACTGTTTTGTATTCTTGTCCTCATTGGGTCTCAAAATTATAATTCACACGAACTTCACTTTCTCTCCTCCCATACCTTTTGAAACATACTGCAATCTGGTATCATCTCCGAATGAACACTACTTCTGACAAAGTTGCCACTGATCCCTTAGCTCCTCAAACCGCAAAGTATTTTTCGGTTCTTATTTTGCCTGACTTCTCTGCAGCGTTCCATGCTGCCTACCTCCACACCTTTTTTATTCTTTTCTATCATTATTTAATTTCTGGGATCTTGCCCACTCCTGGTTTGCCTCCAGTTTCGCTGGCTGTTTGCCTTTCTCAGTCTCATCTCTTCAGCCTCCTTCCTCACCTGCTTCTTGCAATTGCTGAAGTTCTTTAGGGTTCCCACCGTTCACCTTCTTTTCTGTTCAATCTGCAAACACTCTCTAGGAGACTTCCACATCCAGCACTTCAACTATACTTGCCTGTGTCTTTACTCCTAGTCTAGTTGTCTCTCCACAGTGACTAAACAAACTCTCTTCTTGCCATTTCCTTTTAGAAATTCCTCAGAAATACCCAACTCAGCATTCAAAAGTTGATCTTACCTCTTTTCACTTCTTACTCTCCTGCCCATTATTGCTTTCAGTTAATAGTCTACCAGTCACTGGGTTACTTAAGTGTCATCCTTAATTCTCCTCCCTTAATTTCATCAGTTCTCAGTTCCGATCAATGCCACCTCCTTAGTAACTCTTTATTCTTCAGAGCTTGGCTTATCCCCTTACCACTTCTCACCTAGATCATGGCCAGAGCCCCCTAAATGGTCTCCCTGCCTCCATCTTGACCAATTCAAGGCCATTCTCCATTGCTCAGTGCTATAGGGTGAACTGATCATAATCATTCCTTATGCAATTCAATGGGCCTTCCTTCTTAATGTCTTTAGGATTAAACTCCTCGGGATGGCATCTAAAGTCTTTCATTATCTGTCTCCTGATCATCTTTATGACTTCATCACACTAGTTGCCAGGCTCTAGTGGGACCAGTCAGGCTTGCCTACATCTCTACCTTTCCACAAACTTCCTTGGCTAGGAATGCGCTTCCTCTTACTAATTCACGACGATCTTTCATGAATAAACTCTGGGGAGCAGGTGCAGTGGCTCACGCCTGTAATCCCAGCACTTTTAGAGGTCGAGGCAGGAGAATCACTTGAGCCCAGGAGTTTGAGACCAGCCTGGGCAACATAGCCAGACCTTGTGTTTACAAAAAATTTAAAAATAAGGTGTGGTGGTGCATGCCAGTAGTCTCAACTACTTGGGAGACTGAGGCAGGAAGATCCCTTAAACCCAGGAGGTAGTGACTGCAGTGAGCCATGTTCATGCCATTGAACTCCAGCCTGGGTGATGGATCTAGACTGTGCGTCAAAAAAAAGTACTCAGCTATTACATATTCTTGGGAGGCTTTGCTGACACTCCCTTACCTGTCTGAGTAGATGCTCCACCTCTCTTCTACAGTCCCATAGCATTCTTAAGCACGTTCATCATACTCTGACAACCACTGTCTGTCTGGTTAATGCTCTCACCCTTCACTATATTGGGTTGTCCCTTGAAGGAAATTCTTATCTTTTATCTCTACATTCCCAATTCCTCCAACACAGTACCTGGTATGCAGTAGACATCCAATAAGTGCTTCTAAAATTAGCTACTATGTACCTACTGTAGTTAGTTGTGTCCATTTATCTCCCCCTTAAAAGTGACTTCAACCCTGGGAGGATATCTTAATGTTTTTTTCCTTCCTCTCTCAAAGCACAGTATATACAGTGCTTAATTAAAAACAGGCGCTTAACAAACTTTCGCTGCTTTTAAGTAAACCTTAACCCTCATTCCAACATCAAAAATCTACCCTCTTGCTCCACTTGAGTGAGAGAGGTGTCTTAAGAAAGAAACTACGAAGGAGTCACCCTCTCTTGAGAAACAAGTGAGATCACAGGCTCCCAAAGTGTGTGTGTGCGCGCGCAGGGGGAAGAGGAGGTCGAGGCAGAGCTCATATATTCCTGGTGGAATACAGTGTGTGGTGGGCAGATGTCCAAATTCTTTAAGCAAGGTTTTCCCATTTCTCCCCAACTCTCCCTCGGTGCCATATGCTCTTTCTTTTCTGTTGCCCAGTCTCACTTAGGTCACGTGCGACATCTTGATCTCTTTCCTTTAACCCCGATTCCAAACCCACTTCTGCCCGGCAAACTCCTACCGGGCCCACGGCACGCATGCGCAGTAACCTCCGCACTGGCCCGGTCAGTCTCGCGCCCCATGACCCTCTCCTAAAACACGCGCAGTCTCCTCTCTCTTCCCCCTCTGCTCTTGTTTCTTCCTTGCCTACCAGCCTCACCTGATGGGCTCGTGCTCTCTCCGTCCCCGATCCACTCGGGCTCCGGCGGCTGCTGCTTGGGCGCCTTCGGCATCGCGGTAGCAGTTACAGCTGCTGTGGCGGCGCCCAGTGCTATTTCCGCTTCCGGCGGCGGGGAACCCCGATGAGGCTGGTTCTCCCAGCCGCCGCGGCCAACCCCACCCCGGGCTGCGCACGTGCGAGCTTCGCCGTCATCTCGGGGGCGTGGCCCTGGTACAGTGGAGGCGTGGCCTGCAATGACGGGGCGGGGCCGGCGTCCGCCTACTCCAGTCGCGTCCACATGGCGTTTACGACGGTCTGGGAAGCCTGACGCCGTGACCTCCCGACGCCGCGAGACTCCAGGAATGACCATAATAATTTCCTACTAGTATGAAGGAGTTGAGGCATACTTTTTTTTTTTTTTTAAAGCATATTCTAGTTTCTATCTGTAACTCTCGTTTCTAGCTCTAACTGCCACCGCGATGCCGAAGGCGCCCAAGCAGCAGCCGCCGGAGCCCGAGTGGATCGGGGACGGAGAGAACACGAGCCCATCAGGTGAGGCTGGTAGGCAAGGAAGAGACAAGAGAGGAAGGGGAAGAGAGGAGACTGCGCGTGTTTTAGGAGAGGGTCATGGGGCGCGAGACTGGGTCACGGGCAGAAAAGACAGCGCAGTCCAATGACTAAGGGAGAGGTCTGATCGGTCCAGTGTTGAAATGTGTCACAAAATCCCGAAGTGTACAACTGTAAACAGGGAACTGGAGCCCAACATGCAGAAGTCATGGTGCAGTGGAGCTCCGGTTCATTTTTTTTTTTCTTTTTTTTCTGGTAACAGCTTTACTGAGATATACTTGACATACAATAAACTGTACACAAAATAAAATGGTACCCAAAATAAACTTCAAAGTATACATTTAAATAAGTTTTGACATGCATAAACCCAGTAAACTATCACCACAATCAAGACTTTGGTTCACTTCTAACTCTACCACTTAATACGGGAGCTTGAGTAAGGTGCCCCTGTAGTTCTGTCAGCTCTCAAATCACTACAATCATGCTTTTGTTGCCACCATTGCCTGAATTCACACTTGCCAAAGTCAACAGATCTGGGGCCATCCTACTCACTCTCCCAACAACATCTGATACACTTGGTCACTCCCTCCCTCCTTCCTTTGTTTTCTTCAGGGACACTACTCTCTACAGGTTTCCTTTGTATCTAATGGGCTTCTCCTGAAGTTTAAATGTTGAAGTGCCTCAGGGCTCAATCTTTGACCCTCTCCTTAATCTAGACTTATCACCTATTACCTCCTGACTTTAAATACCGTCTATAACCAATGAAGATTCCCAAACTTCTCTTGCTGGCCCCTAACTTCTGCCCTGAGCTCCAGGCTCATGAATTCAACTGCTTATGGGACACCTTCTCTGAGATCTTTAATAAATCTCTCTAATACGTACAAAATGGAGCTCTTGTTCTTACCCCTAAAGCCTGTCTCTTCCAGGCTTCCCCATCCAGAAATTGCACCACATGTCATTCAGTTATTTGGGCCAAAACTGAAAGGTCATCCTCTTTCTCCATTCCTCCTCCCCAATCAATCCATCAGCAAGCTAAGTCTGCCTCATTTTTTCATTCATCTGTTCAACAAATATATTTATTGAGTGTATAGTATGTGCCAGGCACTCTTCTATGCTCTTGGGATACTACTGAATAAAATAAAGATCTCTGATTACATTTCTAGCAAGGGAGATGATACTATAGATAAAAGAAAATATAGATCAAGTTTAAAAATATAAAAAGGACAGATTTTAGTACTAAATGAGGCCTCAGTAAAGTGAAATTCAAGCAAATCATTGAAGAAGATTAGTTTTGGCCACATGGATTTCCAGGAGATGGGCCTTTACCTAGCATAAGAAACAGCTGGAATAAAGCCCTATGGCAGGAGTGTTCTGACATACATGGGAAACAAACAGGAAGGAGGCAAGTGGGGCTGGAGTGGCATGAGTGAGCCAGAGTTGTGGGAAAGGTGAAAAGAGAAGTAAAGCAGGGTCTGGATTGGGAAAGGTCTTTTAAAGATTTTGGCTTCTTCTGTTGATTTAAATGGAAGTCACTGCAGACTTCTAAGCACAGTGATGTGATCCAACCTACATTTTAAAAGGATGACCTGGGCTGGGTGCGGTGGATCATGCCTGTACTCCCAGCACTTTGGGAGGCCAAGGCAGGTGGATCACGAGGTCAGGAGATCGAGACCATCCTGGCTAACATGGTGAAACCCCGTCCCTACTAAAAATACAAAAATTTTAGCCGGGCGTGGTGGCGGGTGCCTGTAGTCCCAGCTACTGGGGAGGCTGAGGCAGGAGAATGGTGTGAACCCGGGAGGCAGAGCTTGCAGTGAGCCGAGATCGCGCCACTACACTCCAGCCTGGGCGACAGAGGGAGACTCCGTCTCAAAAAAAATAAAAATATATAAAATAAATAAAAGGATGACCTGGCCAGGTGCAGTGGCTCACACCTGTAATGCCAGTACTTTGGGAGGCTGAGGCGGGAGAATTGCCTGAGCCCAGGGGTTTGTGACCAACCTAGGCAACATAGTGAGACCCCTGGTCTGTATATAATACAATTTTTTAATATTTATTTTACTTTTTGAGACGGAGTCTTGCTCTGTCGCCCAGGCTGGAGTGCAGTGGCGTGATTTCGGCCCACTGCAACCTCTGCCTCCTGGGTTCAAGCAATTCTCCTGCCTCAGTCTCCTGAGTAGCTGAGATTACAAGCGTGCACCACCACGCCTGGCTAATTTTTGTATTTTTAGTAGAGACGGGGTTTCACCATGTTTGTCAGGCTGGTCTCGGACTCCTGACCTCGTGATCCACCTGCCTTGGCCTCCCAAAGTGTTGGGATTAGAGGCGTGAGCCACTGTGCCCAGCCTATAAAATTTTTTAAGTTGTTAAAAAATAAATAAATAAAAAGGATGACTCTGGAGGCTGTGCTGAGAATAACCTGGGCGGGGGGCGGGAGGGGGCGAGCAGCAGAGAATGGGCAGAAATGACAGAAGCAGGGAGATCTATTAGGAGGTGATGGTGACTCAGACTAGAGTGACAGCAGTGGAGGTGTGAAAGGGCTGGTTTCTAATATATTTTGGAAAAGAGCCAACAAGTTTTGTTAATGGATGGGAGGTCATGTTTGACAAAGAGAATTAAGGATGACTCCAATGTTTCTGGCCTGAGTTAACTAGAAAGTTGTAATTGCCATCAACTGAGACTAAAACATAACCCAAATTTGACCACTTCTCTCCACTTCTACCCTGACCCAGCCGTCGTCTCTTCTCCCTGGACCACTGCACTGGCCTCCTAACTGGTCTGCCTGCTGTCATTCTCATTCTCTAGTCTATCCTTCACATCTACAGTCGGAGGTAGTTTTTATATGTAAATCCATGGGCCGATCACAGTGACTCACGCCTGTAATCCCAGCACTTTGGGAGGCTGAGGCAGGCAGATCAAAAGGTCAGGAGTTCGAGACCAGACTGGTCAACATGGTGAAACCCTGTCTCTACTAAAAATACAAAAATTGGCCCAGATCAAAAGGTCAGGAGTTCGAGACCAGACTGGTCAACATGGTGAAACCCTGCTTTCTACTAAAAATACAAAAATCTGGCCAGGCGTGTGGTGGGTGCCTGTAGTCCCAGCTACTTGGGAGGCTGAGGCAGGTGAATCACTTGAACCTGGGAGGTGGAGGTTGCAGTGAGCGTGATCACACCACTGCACTCCAGCCTCCAGGACACAGTGAGACTCCGTCTCAAAAAAAAAAAAAAAAAAAAAAAAAAAAAAAAAAAAAAAATCCATTTGTTCAAAGTATAAAAGTATTTAGAAAAAGCATAAAATCCAGAATAAAATCCAAATGCTTTACCATAGCTTATGGGGCTCTGTACAATATGCCCTCTGTTAAACATCTTGATCCCATCTCCCACAGTCTAGCCACACTGGGCTTTTTTTTTTTTTGAGCCGGGATCTTGGTCTGTCATTCAAGCTGGAGTGTAGTGGTATAATCATAGCTCACTGCAGCCTCAAAGGATCCTCCCACCTCAGCCTCCAACTAGCTAGGACTACAGGCACATGCCACCAGGCCTGGGTACTTTTTAAACATTTTTGCAGAGACAGGGTCTCACCATGTTGCCCAGACTGATCTCGAACTTCTGGGCTCAAGTAGTGCTCCTGCCTCAGCCTCCCAAAGTGCTGGGATTGCAGGCATGAGCCACCACGCCTGGCCTGGCCTTCTGTTTTTACTTCAAACACCCCAAAGTCATTCCTGCATCAAGGCCTTTGCCTTTGCTGTTCCCTGTGTCTAGAATGCACTTTCTCCGTGTGTTCATATGGTTTGTTCCCTCGTTTAATTTTCTCTCTCTGTGTTACCTCCTCAAAGCAGCTCTCTCTTTGTATCTACCTGTTCTCTTTCCCCCTGTCACTCTCTAACCTCTTTTTTCATTTTATTTTCATTTGGAGCACTTACTATTACTTAAAATTATACTACCTATGTATATTGTCTATCACCCTCAAAGCAATATGTAAGCTCCATATGGGCAAGGATTTTGTCCTTTTTATTGATGTATCTCCAGCTCCTAAAACAGTGCTTGCTCTACACTAGGCACTAAAGTGTTCATTGAAAGTATGCAAAGCTTGGCCAGGTACAGTGGCTCATGCCTATAATCCCAGCACTTTGGGAGGCCGAAGCAGGTAGATCATCTAAGGTCAGGAGTTCGAGACCAGCCTGGCCAACATGGCGAAACCCCATCTCTACTAAAATATAAAAAATTAGCTGGGTGTGGTGGTGGGCACTGTAATTCCAGCTATTTGGGAGGCTGAGGCAGGAGAATCGCTTGAATGACCCGCCCCCGCCAAAAAAAAAAAAGAAAGTATATGAAGCTTAAGTAAGACAATGTCTATAAAGAGCTTAGCAGGGTACCTGGCACTGAGCAAGCAGCCAGGTGATGCCATACTCTAAGATCTCTCCCTGCCTCTCTGTCATCCCTCCTTAGTCTCCTTGTCTGGCTTATCCTTGTCCTTCTTCACTTAGCCATTCAATGTCAGAGTTCCTCAAGGCTAAGTTCTGGATTCCTCAGAGAGGTCTATCATCTACAGATTCCTTCATCTACAGATTCCTCAGAGAGGTCTATCCTAGCCACCATGTCTTTTTTTTTTTGGAAATGGAGTCTCCCTCTGTCACCCAGGGTGGAGTGCAATGGTGCGACCTCGGCTAACTGCAACCTCTGCTTCCTGGGTTCAAGTCATTCTCCTGCCTCAGCCTCCCAAGTAGCTGGGATTATAGGAGACCATCACCATGCCCAGCTAATTGTTGTATTTTAGTAGAGACAGGATATCACCATGTTGGCCAGGCTGGTCTCAAACTCCTGACTTCAGGTGATCTACCCGCCTCAGCCTCCCAGAGTGCTGGGATTACAGGCATAAGCCACCGCGCCCAGCCACCATGTCTTGAGTAGCTCCCCAACTACTGTTTCTATTCAGTACCCCATTTATTTCCTTCATATGATTCATCTCAACCTGTAATTATATGTTTGTTTACTTTTAAGAAAAATAGTCCCTGAGAATTGGGAATTGGCCTGACAATAACTAGCAGGCTTTGGTGTTGCTGGGAGCTGGCCTGTTGCCCATAGTTAGACCCTGGTACAATCTTGTTGAACATAAACTATCTCACAGAAAATCAGTGTCAAACAAGGTCATTCTGTGTTTGTGATGAAGTTAGACAAACTTCAAAATCCTGTCTAAGCACAAACACACCAAACAGTTCCCTGTCAGCTAAAATGTATTGGCTTTTTTACCTTACAACTTTAGTCATATTTCATTTCTCCCTCCTTCTAGATAAGATTAAGAAGTAGTCATAGAACAATTTTCTGCTTCTTTTTTTTTTTTGAGACAGAGTCTTGCTCTGTCGCCCAGGCTGGAGTGCAGTGGCCGGATCTCAGCTCACTGCAAGCTCCACCTCCCGGGTTTGCGCCATTCTCCTGCCTCAGCCTCCCGAGTAGCTGGGACCACAGGCGCCCGCCACCTCGCCCGGCTAGTTTTTTTGTATTTTTGAGTAGAGATGGGGTTTCACCGTGTTAGCCAGGATGGTCTCGATCTCCTGACCTTGTGATCCGCCCATCTCAGCCTCCCAAAGTGCTGGGATTACAGGCTTGAGCCACCACACCTGGCCTTTTCTGCTTCTTTTGAAATCACCAAACACAAACCCTAACCCTGTCATTCCTTTTTTTTTTTTTTTTTTTTTTTTGAGAGGGGGTCTCGCTCTGTTTCCCAGGCTGGAGTGCAGTGGCGCAATCTCAGCTCACTGCAAGCTCCGCCTCCCGGGTTCACGCCATTCTCCTGCCTCAGCCTCCCGAGTAGCTGGGACTACAGGCGCCCGCCACTGCGCCCGGCTAATTTTTTCTATTTTTAGTAGAGACGGGGTTTCACCATGGTCTCGATCTCCTGACCTTGTGATCCGCCCGCCTCGGCCTCCCAAAGTGCTGGGATTACAGGCGTGAGCCACCGCGCCTGGCCCAACCCTCATTCCTAACCCTCTTTTAGGGAGATAACCTCTGTAGAATTAATAAACTCA